ACAGACAGCCGGGCGTACGAAGCTGTCGCTGCCGATAGCGCCTAGCGAGTAAGTGAAAGAGGTGCATAGAGAGATCAAGAGAGAAGGAGAGTGCGAGAAATTGGTGCGCCTGCTGATGCTAGCGGTGGTGCTCGTACTCCTGTCGATTCCGCTTGAGCTCTCACTGACTCGGGTCGACTGAAGTGACTACTATGGTTGAGCGGGTTGGCTGTTGTTCTGAGAGCAGCAGATGGGTGCTCCATTCCGTTTGTTCCAGTAGCAGCAGAGGCAGTAAGTCGGTCTGTCCGTCCGTCGCGGGAGCACTCAGCGCAGGTAGCCACCCATTGGTGTTGTCAGATAACCGCCTGGCTGAATGATTGAAACCGCTCGCCTAGTCAACTCATTCGTTGTCTCGGTTCGAGTAGCCGATGGCTTCTATTACTGGTTGTAGCCGCAGTAACCTGCAGCACACCCATGGAACGACGCACTCCTATCTGCGATACAGGCGAAATGGTGTACTCATGCTGTTCGGACCTGGATATATCGATAGAGGATGTGTGTGGGCTTAGAGGAGAGTGTCACCATGCCGCCGTCGAGTCTGCAGTCACTGTCTAGCAATGGGGGAAGTCTCACCCAGTGTCGCCAGAGTTATAACTCGCAGGCAGCGACGGCGGCGGCGGCGGCGGCGGCGGCAACGACGACGGCTACCATCGCCAGCATCAGGACGGCTATCACGGATGATGAAAATCACGAAAGAAAGCCTCAATTGACGCGCACACTCGTACACTCATCTGCTAGCCGGTTCCATATGGATACGATGCATCTGTACAGATGTCGTGTGTTTTCATACTTAGCAAGCATACTGCTATCTTAGATGTATCTTTATACTAAAATTATGCACAGATAAACAACTATTGTACGGACGTGAGTAGTAACGATACCAGAGGTACAACATAATATTTTTGTTGATCCAAACGAGACTGGCGTAGATCATTAAGAAGAGATAGGAAGCTTTGCGGTATACTGCTACTTCCATTTTTGGGTCTGGGTCGTCTGGCGTTTTCCAGATAGCACCACAAAGTCCCCAGAGCCCCTTTCGGTGCACGTTTTGTCGCCAGATTCAGGAAACAATCTGAAGCCAACATGGCGCGACACTCTGTGGTTCTCGGACGCCATTCGTTCCGATTTCGACGTTAGCTATTATAATATAGGCCAGATTGTACTATCGTACAACACTTCGATAGCTATATAAGGCCATTTACCAATAGTGGTTTTAGACAGGTTTATGACATTAATAGGATCCTTAATACCATTCTCGCAACGGTGATAGAGGGCGGATATCGAGCCGCTTATTATCTCACGATATTGACCATCAGAGAAGAACAGCACGCTGACCGCACTGCATCCGGGGAACACTTGATACATGGAACCAAACTTCACAGGCCACCATTAACCAATGTCATCAATAATAAACCTACATAGTTAGTAGTTTTTGTATCCGAAGAGCAAGCGAAGGTAATCATAGTTTAGACCACTTAAAATTCTAAGTCACTAGAAAAAGTACATTGCTATACAATCGCTTAAATAGAAGTCGATCTTGTTGGTATTTTTTAGTTAATTGGGTCATCCTGTTGGGCAAGGGCAAAACAGTTCCGAATAATCTGTTATTATAAAATATGTCCTGATGGTTTATACAGTGGTTAATGGCCTAAAGCGATTATCTCACTGCTTCAGCGTTTCGACGAAACTCGAATAGAGGCGATGGAGCTGATGGCAATGGAGCAAACGACGGGGGCGGAGAAAACGGTGAAGCTACAGTCGAAGGAGAGGCCGACTTAAGCCTAATCGCTCGACTAGAAAGGCGTTCTTCGTCTTCAAGGCAGGCAGGCAGGCAGGCACGCACCGCTGAACTGCAAATAGCAATCGTCAGTCGCTCTAGTGAAAGGACCTCATCGATCAGTCAAGCAACTTTCGGCAAGCGAGAAAAATCAGCACGGGCAACCATGACAGCTAGAACTATACAGGCCCTTCCGAGGGGCCAATCAGTAGAATGTCGTTTACAAAGGAGCTTTCGCACCACGTAGAAGAGGGTTATCCACATCAGCGTTGAGCGTCGTTCATGTAGACGGCACGTTCTATATTGTATGGACTCTGCCTTTCGTTCGCTACTAGCGTAACGTTAACAGGCCATGCCGAAGCGTTCTTTAACCGTGGAGGGTAATCGCAAACAATTGTTTTGACATGATCAAACATTGGAAAGACCCCCTCAGTTTTAGATCGGTGACCTTTTACTATCGCGATAATTGCCTATCACCACAAGCAAGCATGACTCATTAAATACGTTTTATGTGTTTACGTTTAAGATGTGGCGTGTTTCCAGGACTAGTTTCGCGGTCGGATGGAACCCAAGCTGTCAGGCGAACTAATGCGACATATTACGCCTTTGCTGTGATTAACTATTTCATTGGGCACCGTTTGCTTAACCTTGCCCACTTCCAACAGCTGATTGAAAAAATTCTGGTTTCTTACTTTACTGGCTATTAATTTCCGACTGCATCATAAAAAAATATGTGTCCCTCTCCTTGTATTAGAGGCATATGATGGTGAAGTATAATATCATCATTTATGTGATTATTTTAAAATCAAAATACGGTGCCCTAATTTTTCAGTTCCTTTACTATCAGACGTGGTACACTTTTTTTTTTTTTTTTTAATTTTGACAGTGTCATGCATACATTTTCTCTAATGGCCCAACAAATAAAATGCTTTGCATACTGAGGTCTATCGCCCCCTCGAGTATTGATCTTGTGTTTTTAAGAATCCTGTATACCGTATTTTTCAGGGTCATCTACGTGATGAATACTTGCAAAACGTATCCTGACCCTTGTAAAACGTCAAAAAATTACTTAAGGCTACACCAATGTGAATGCATGATTACTGGCAAAAAATATACATCAGCAAACGTTGCCGACCTTTTTTTTCTCTGAACCATCAACTCAGTATTCGTTCAATTTTCAACTTTTCAAGCGTTAGCAATTTTAACTTTCCGCAATGAGTGGATTTTTCAATATAAATAGTGATACTATATGCAGTAACTATATTCGTGCCATTTGATCTGTACAAAAAACGTTTCTCTCCAGGTTTTGAATGATAGGGTAGAAGTACTGCCGGTAGGTAACAGCCAAGTAATCCATTAATTTAAAAAAGAATCCAATTAAATTACGCCCGGCTGTTTCAGCTGAATTATTCTTTAAATACAACGCCATCTACTATTTTTGTTCAGGTGTAAAAATATAAATCTTCCAAATTCGCTTGTGGTTTCAGCTTAAAATTGTGGTAATGTATCTAGGCACACTCATGTACAACAATGACGAATAGTTATTCTTCGTCTAAATAGGTTGGCTTTAGAATTACTTAATTCACATAGCGTAAAACTTTTGAGCTGAAGATGCGCGCAAAGTATTTTAAATGTTATGTACTATGACAGAAAATATCGGGGGTAACATATCACTACGAACTTGAAATAAAAGCTATGCAACTACCTTGATGTCCTGTTTGGGATAATGTAGAGATAGTAGTATATTTGTGACAATCTTTCTATAAATAGCGCCGACCTTAGCGACGTCGACCTGAGAATGCCGTAACGCACATAGAGGGAGCCCTTCTGCACTCTGTACATCTACGCACAGACAACTATAGCGACAAGCGTCGTTAACTACTTGTCTACATTTGTGTCTGCAACTAGCGGGCGGTTCTGGTGAACAAAGAGGCTCTTGTCTGTTCTTTACCCTTTCGGTCCTTTGTCTGGGCACCGTCTGTTCCTTCGTCGGTAATGAAGATAGATTTTCTGCCATTAATATAGACACACATCAGTCGAGGTCCCGTATACAATCACATAGACGACTACGCACGCGCGTATAGCCAGCACAAACACACACAAAACCACCCATTTATATTCGTGTTCTTGCTTCCCTAGACAACAGCCGCTATGTAGGTCCGTTCTTCGTTTGGGCCACAAAAGTCACCGCATCGTATAGTCAGAAAGCTGATCTGCAACAGCCGATGGATTTCCCCGAGAACAAGAATAGGTTAAATTGTGTAGAGTCGGGTTCCTACTTGGCGCTCGCACCATCTATTGAACAGTGATGTGTTTTTGGAAGGTGTACGACGACCAACACATAGCCTCTTGTGTAGACACAATGTGTGTGAGAGCCAGAACATAGCCCTAGATCCAAGACGGTTACTTCATTTCCTCAATGAACTCTATGGAGAGGAGGCGAAGCGACGATACGGAAAAAGCTTTAGACACATTGATCACTTCCAGTTTAGGTGACAGTTTGATTCCATCCTGAGGGTACTTCATCGCCGACTCAAGCCGGATGTATCTTCGAATGGATAAGCACTTCATAAAAAAACTGACGCCAGCCAGACTGGTACAGTCAGCTGACTCCGGCTGATACGTGGGGACTTTCTTGTGAGAAGAACTACTTCTTCCTACCCACAGATAGAGAACACTAAGACCACTCAACCGATCAACGTATGACGGTTTTAGCTACAAGAAAGAAAAGTACATAAAAAAAAATGTGTATACAATTTCCGGAAAACGAAACAATTTATTTGTTACTTGGGTTACTTAAACGTACGAATATGATCGTGTTCGGCCCCTGGCACGCAAAGACTATGGAGCCCTCCTTGGCCCAAAGTGAGCAACCACTCCGCGTCGAGCGCGACTCAGGAAATCGTCTTAAGGACGAAGTGCCATCTACAATGACCGTCAAAATGGTCACCAAAAACCAGCTTAACGAAGTGGTACAGATGAACAACTATTCGTAGACGTAACTGGGAAAACTTTGCAGAACTACTCTGATTTCTGCTTTTTCTATCCAATAAATTACTATGAATGTAATGATGTAGGGATGACTATTTTGCATACATATATAACGACACTTGTTACGATGCCAGGTCAATACAATTTATTAAATTTTCTGTCATTCTCATTTTGTTTCGTTTCCTGTTGTTTTATTTATGTATCATTTCAAGACTGCGCTTTTTGTCTATCTGACAAAAAAATTGACACACTTTGTCGTTTGCCTCTAGGCTAACTGGCACCTTAATCCGCATGTCTATCCGCCACCGCAGTTGCAGCGTCTCGGCACAAATTCTGTGGCATTGTTCATATGTACAGGACTATTTACAGGCTGCGAGCAGTAGCTTAGAATGATTATCCTAGAGCGTCGTAGTTCGCAAAAGATTGCAGATTAAGTTTCTACAAGATAGAGCCATCGTATATCACAGACTAGATAGAGTGCACGAATATTTCACTTCTAACGCAATCGCTGAAGGCTTATCGTTACGTGATGTTCACCTATAGCTAACAGCTTTCTATACGTCAATTGCCCCATTCGGCTCTTCCTGAGGCGCGCTGTTGCACAAGCAAGACAAGACCTTTTCAACGTGCACCGTGTGCATGCCCTCGGCCCTGCTAGGGCACACCAGATTAATCTTGAGCATGTGCGTCTTTAATGGCTTACAAAATTCACACGTTTTCACTGGTGAATTTGTGCTGCCGCTTAGAGTGGGAATGAAAAACGAGTTACATTGGCCATAACAAAAGCTGTTAATGATCTTCTTAGGATGACAACCGCGAACTTGAATGGTTTGAGTGAACGCTTTGGTGAGACAGAAGTTTCGCCTTACTCTGTCTCTGCCCATAAGAACGGATGAGGGGGCTTCGTTCTCCTGGAGAAGATCTAACAAGTTAATCTCTTTTTCTTTCGGTTCGTCTTCTAACTTGATGACATTTGGAAGTTTGGCGCTAAGGTTCTTGAGCAGACGGCTGGTCCCACGTCGACAGGGAGGATTAGTGCAGCGTCGGCGGGACGCACGCGCTTTTCTGTTTCTCATTTGACGTACAAAGGTTTGGTACATTTGATAGCGTTCCGCTTCCTCCGGACTTTGAGGTACGAACTCATTATCATCTGTTCTAGCTTCTTTGTTGTGGCTGCCGCTCTGAAACGCGGGTGAGACCAAAGTGCCTGCAGGGAAATCAGGGGAAGGCTCGAATCTAATGATTTCCTCAGGCCGAGGCGAAATCCACTTGTAGAATGCCATGTGCGTAGACTTTTTTATGTTCGGTTGACTGCTCTTGACCATGGTCACAGTAGCTATCAGTATCACCACGATCCTGATTTCCTAGAATGAAGCAAGCAGAACGATGAGTTAACAATCATACCGAAGTGAGCTATATATATGCAGCTACATGTTATGATTACGACGTTTGATATTTTTGGCGGTAACTACTCCAGCGAGCCTAGCCGGTCGACATGGACTACACTTATGAGAAAAATTCTGCACGCACGCCAGTCACCACGGGAGATCGCTAAGGTGCGAAGGAATGTTCGACGATGTTCGCAATGGGCCTACACACATGATAGCTAGGTAGAGAAGAGCTCGTGCGTGGTTGCACGAACTTGAATGCGATACGATGCGGAGTTATTGAGCGGTGCCGCCTTTCTTAATCAAGTCAGGGGTCGCGCGTTTCACCGAAAGTGCCCTCTGGCGTTTGCAGAACTGCCCTAAGAGCCACCGTTTGATGGCCTGACGACTCCGTTCGCACAGCCGAGTTCGACTTTATTTTGGCTTCGAACGTGCGTATTGGCGCCTTTTTCATCAATCCACTTATAGACAAGATTCAAGTGTTCTAGCCATGTCATGAATTTCGAATTACTGTCGATTACATGCTGTGAAAGTGTTATGGGGTGTATACGTGGGTCTTGTAACCTGTATGTCAAACGTATTTGGAGCGCAAGCGATTTAATAATACGTTCATCGTACCCTTTAGTATCTCCACATTTTAGCTATTTTCTAGTCTAATCAAACTGCATGCATGTCCGTGTAAAGTGATGAAGGTCAAAACGACCGTCGACAAAGGCTGTAGCATCTCGTTTTCTCTCTGTTAGGTCCCGTCCACCTGGCAGCTAAGCGGTAGTGCTTTAGGCGCGCGCACAGTTATAACCAGCAGCGCAGCTACAGGACATCAGCGGCCAACCGCTAGTCCCAGTAATTTGGGTTGACGGCTGGCTGCACCTTCCGTCTGATCAGAGGAGTCAGCAATCAGTTGCCGAATGACGACCGACGGCTATTGCTTAAGAAAACAGCACGCCCATCGCATTTGGGTGCGCGGCGACGTCGTAGACGACGACGAAGCGCCTCAAAAGGCGCCGGATAACGTTGGCCGCTAGAGGAGACGTAGGAACTGGAGAGGCAGCAGCAGCAGCAGCAGCAGCATCAACGATGAACTCACGAGGAACTAAGAAAGGCCTAACGGAGGAATCAGCCAGACATAGCAGCAACGAATCAGCTCCGCTTGTCGACTACGCGCGACGTCGCCCAACAGGCGGACAGACAGACAGCCGATCTGTTGGTAGGGCGAACAGATCAGCCATCGGCCAGGTGATGTAGAGAGGCTCCTTCAACTCACTCAGCAGAACGTCCAGCAAGAAATAGAGCGGCGACCACAGCGACAACAAAAATAGAAACAGTAACAACAACAACAACAGCAACATCAAGTAATAATAACGGGAGCAGCAGCGACAACAACAACAGCAGGCCAACTGAGCAACGTCTGGTTACGGCGCGGACGTACGATTGCGTCCTCGTCGTCGTCTTCATCGCCGTTGTCAGGAGTTTGAAGTCGAAGGAGGTGGCGGCGTAGTGGCGCAGAAAACCCGGTCATCGCTTCCTCCCCGTCCCCCTATTCAAGCAAAAACCATGATCACCGGCGAGACTGGCGTCTTCTATAGCCAGGCGCCATGGATCAAGCTACCGGTCACGGAGCTGAAGAATACACGAACGCAGCGCCGTTTAACTCGACGCGCTCGCCAGACTCTGCCCTTGGTTAACCAATAAGGCTAAGCAACCCGCCGGGCTTTTTGCTGCTGCGGAAGCGGCAGCAAATACTATTGCCGGCTGCTGATGCCGCTGATACTTGCGAAATCTGCCACTGAGTTGGCCGTGCTCTTGTTGCGGGTACTTGCCTGCCTTTGGCCTCTCTGGACCCAGTCAATGACTCGCCTGATTGGCCTGTTGGTCGCCTAAGATCGACGACGTTTCGGCGCCAAGCGCGGACGGAGCAGACTGCTTCCTCTTTTCGTCGTCAGGTTCGATGGCGCCTATCGTACGAGAGCGCGACAGGGCCGCCGCGACAAACATCATCGTAGTCATAGACCACCGCATCGTACGCACACACACAGGCGCCCATAGGTAGCCCTCAGAGACAAGAACAACACGCGACAGGACTCTGTGGTGATGCGGCACAAAGAAACAGGCGAAGGGAACAGCCCTGGTCGCACGCGCACGCGCGCGCGCGCACTAAACGGACCTGTTAGGTACAGTGTAAATGGCGACTGTCAATGAAAAGAAGACGGAGTAACGATGCGCAAGGAAACCACTGCGGTACATCTGGCGCGCGACGCCCAACGTGGGTATGACGGTGTTTATTGGATAGTGTACGAAGTGAACACTTAGAGGTTAGGATGTATTGATACTAATTCAACGAGAAAAGAGCGAACGATTTGTCCGTGATATAGAAACGTAACGAAATCAGACAAAGAATAAAGAGATTAAACGAGAAAAATTCGAAAAGGACACTTAATAGCAATTTCTGGATTATGACCGAATGGAGAAATGTTAATAGGACGATTTTGAGAAAACGCTTGTAAAGGTTGTGTGTTCGTTCCGACGAAAGGCTATATAAAGTGCGCCGATTTTTAGTGCCGTCAGAGTACGTATATGAGCAATAGTCATATAGTCTAATAAATTTCAATCGTCAACACTTAATGGATGGAGTTACAAATCCAAATGATCATACGATTAAACCGTAATGATGGCCCTAAGTCATTGATTCTATAATTCAAGGAGCTACCGGAGCTGTATGCTGTGTAGCGTAAGCCAATTGCAGAATAGACGGGTCGCGTGCTATTGGAAATGCGAACGTTTCAGATTCTTTTTGCTTCTCTAGATTCAGCTCCGTGCGCTAGTCTGAATTTGCACCGACGACCAAATGAGTACTCACCATAGTTATGCTGAAGACTGTTCACCTCCTGAGCAAGGAAAATCTGAGCATTTCTGAAGGAAGATACGGTTCTTTCGCTCAGCACCTCTAACGTCCGATTGCTGTTTCCAATATATGCGTTCGACTAGCGATGATCACTTCGAAAGAGATAATGAGTTTTTTCTCACCGATAGAAGATGTTTAGGACCATACACCTTAGCGTCCGGTTCTGCGAATGGCCTGAGCTCAGCCAGCAGCCTCATTTAAACCCGCAGGAGGAGGGGCCTCTACTGACTCCGCCTTAAGGTGAGGGGGTAGTTAGACCCCGAGGAGACGACTAACGGGTAGCTAGGGGGCCTAATTGTCGAATTAAAACACTGCCTTTATGAACACACGCTTTGCGTACTTTCGCATACAAATTGATTTATTTATCTGTCTACTTGGGACAATTGCTATGGCCAAAAAGAAGTACTATACAGTTCTAATCATGCCAGAACAAACTCTCATGACATCGCTTCATCAATCACTGGAAGCAAGCAATTAGCCGCAATTATTAACTGGGTGTGCGAAAAAATCTATAATAACACTATATTAATAATTATGCTATTAATGATTCCAACAACAAAGTGCGGCTGCCACAGTCTGCATAGAGGGAACATTTATGTAGAAACTAACATGTTTTGACTGGCGCCAAGCAGTCAAAGACTGCCTGACACTTTGCATACGTTATTTGTTTCTGAACAAGCGATAAACAATCACCGCAGCTCCAACTGATGACTTTACTTCGTTGAAAATCCCACGATTTCATGGTATGCCCTTTTACGATCATTGATATTATAGGGAATAGCAACTCCAAACTATAGGGGTGCGTGTCATGATAGTCTTTTTTTGTTTCTACTGACCATATGATAAGCAAAGCATGAATTTTTATTGTGATCGTTATGCAACAAGTTACAAGGGACTGCAGAATAAATCTAAAATCCAATCGTAGGATGCAGCATAAATATTTTGCCTATGATATTTCGACTACGATGATTATACGATTCTATTATATACGTACAAATTATTTTGAGCGGGAACATCAGAGCTGTCGGTATCATAATTATACGGCAGAAGTTTCATGGCGCACGTCACCGAAAATACAGGAAAACAGAATAAACGATCAAATCACCTCTTGCTATTCGATCTCAAAGTAGCTCCGATCGCAACGTGCGGGATACGCGTCATCTGGCAGCGGAGGATCCCGTACAATTAAATTTCGTTACAGCCTCCTTCCTCAAAAGAGCGTTGGGACTACGCATAGTAACCCGAAATCGCTTTACGTGCCCACTAGTCGACTCGCCACCGCTGTCCAAGGACCTACGGCATCGTTTTGATCTTCCAATAAAGGAACCTTGCGATCTGGGAACAAAGATTTGCAGAGATTTCTTTGCGATGGGTAAGTGGTTGTAAGTAAGGTACACAGCAACGGGTGGAAGGGGACGAACCGGCTGACGAGGCATGACTTCACTGGCTTTGCCATGCATGGGTTTCATCATAGATTCTTTTTTTTCCACGAGCCTAACGATACACGTATGTGCTCCAAATACGGACAAAATTACGTTGGATACCGTACCACTCGTTCTTCTGTCGCTTTCTGGTACGTAAGCCTCTTAAATAAGAGCTATGAACTTGATAAGGCTTGTATCATACTTTAAATACTTTACGACTTATAGGTTATAAGTCGTAAAGTACTTTAGATCATTTATCATCATAGAGATCATCATCATAGAGACTGGAATATTACGTTACTGCCCTGTGTGAAATCTCTCAACCCTTCAAAGTGAGCCTTAGACATTGGGAACAAAGGTTCGCCGAAGACTGACGAGGATTTCTTTGCTTTGGGTGCGATCAGGAGTAACGAGTAAAAAAGGACGAGCCGACTAGATAAATATGTGATCATTCGTTTGACCGTGCATGGCTTCCACCATAAACTCTGCAGGCAGCTAAGTTTCTATGAACCTGAGAATACGTGTGGATGCTGCCGATGCGAAGCAAGTTGTGATGGATATCGCCTTCAAGTATTAGTCTCATGACATTAGGAAAATCTGTCAATATAGCTTTATAAACTCAAGTGTTTTAGATGGTTCTGTATAGCCCCTCCGATATTGGGATGTTCTGTGTCTGACGTGTATAGCCAGCACAAACGAATAAATAATATTTGATACCATCTGATTAGTTTTTTAATGATGAAAGCAGAAAAAGCAAAAATTTGAGTATTTTATCAGTATTCGTATCGTGTACTAAATATAGATAATCAATGACGTCCTTGCGTCGTTGCTGACTCGGAATTATGGATTCGCCAGGTCCGTTACAGCCAATGAGTAGATGTGTCCCCTATATGTATGCAGTAGAATTTTCTCAAGTAGAAGCCTGCCTAGGTCAACTAGATTTACTTGCATGACTCCTCATCTAGATAAAAATGTTTCCTAAAAAGATAATTTACGCAGATAAACTACACACTATATTATCTTATACAATCCTGGTTAGAGGTTTGTTGGACGAACGAATACTGATAACGTTCCGAAGAACGATCTTTTTAGCGTCATCTTGACCGGATCAATAGACGGCAGCGCGACGGTCCCACTGTTTTTTAAGCACGCCAAGAGCCGCACGGCATTATTATGCGCCTAAATAACGCCAGTCAAAATCGAGTTAACCAAATAACATCGTGCCGTATTGTTTAGTTGTTTGTGCCCAGGGCAACAAGTTCGTAGACGCCATTGCTGTTAATAGGTGCAATTTTTTCTTGCCCCAAAGGTCTGTGCAAATGTTGATGCACGAGAGGCGATATCGCTTAATTCTATTCGAACACTTTAAACGCTATTATCATAACATTACTTTTATTCTATTGATAATTTAGCAGTTATATTTTTTATCAGTGTACATTGATTTCATCGTATCTTATCGACTAGAATGATGAATAATTAACCTAATGGGTTAAAGTGATCTAGTATTATGGGTTTCAGAGTGATTGAGAAATGATGACCCCTGAACAACACTAGAGAAATAGATGGAATCGGAAAAATTAAATAATCGTATTCTACCTATATTTATTAGTGGCTCCTAATGGCAACCTACGTTGTTTATTGCACGCTACAGTTCCGCAACCTTTAATTAACTGTATTACTATTTATTAATTAACTATATATTACTATTAATTAACTAACTAATTAAAGCTATTCGCAAAGCTTGAACCCTTACAGACTTATAACGAAGCGATAAGCTTTCGTTTTAGTTCTTTTCCAGCGTATAGTCTAATAGCAGGCCGAATCCGATTAGGCCAGTTGACTTCAATAATTTCGTTGTTTGATTGTTGTTATTGTGGTAGTTAAGTTTATCATTTTTTTTTTGTAAGGACGAGGAAGCGACAGTAACCACTCCATTAGTTATGCCTGCATCAAGTCTCTAATACTGCTCAAAGGCGTTTCAGATACTGTGCATAACGCCGTCACCATGTACCGATCGATCCGTCACAGCTAGCGCAGCGATGGACGTCGAGAAGGAAAGCAAACACGAAAAGGCTGCAGGACGAGAAAGAGCGAACGCTCACAATAAAGCAAACGAACAGAGAGCTAAAAGAAACCAAGCTGTTTAGGGCGTGGTGCAGTTGCGTATCAGATTGTGGGCCGCACCCACATTAAAGGCGAACCCCCTCCCCCACTCCCCTGCCCCCGAGCAAGGTTTTTCACACCTTCAAGCACATGTACGTTTTAAATCTCTGCAGCCTCAGGACCAGAAGCAAAAGACCACGCCGTAACAATCGGCGGAGCAGTGCAGCGGCCGACGACAGCCAACGACGAAGAGCTTTCTGTCTTTGTTCCGCACATTACACGGGTCTACGTTACCTACCTCGACGGGTGCCTCAAATAGACTTGTCGTACCGACCGTATGACGACTAACTCAGCTTACAAGATGAGGTACTAACTGATTCACTCCCCTGGGGTCCTGCTCTCACGACCTCACAGTGTTCGCCCGGACGGCCAATCGACTGATCGGAGCGCACAATCGACTCAGATGAACATCTCGGCAATGCTTTATTACTAAGAACGATTGGCATCTGTCGCGCGCACGCACTCCTCTGTTGTCTGGGTTTCACAGCATCACTGCGCTCATCATCGCAGTCATCATCACAATCATCACAAGACCGCGACCGTGATCATTATGGCCATCACCGTAGCAGACAGGACAGGATAACGCTTCGGCATCTTCGTTTCGTTGTCTCGATGTCTAGCACTCAGCGTGAACTGTCGGATCGAGCGGTGCAGAGGGAAGTGCGATTCACGCCGAAGCTGGTTGTCTGAGAGAGAGAGAGCTTCGGGTGTTTGGGGCGACTGAAGAAGACCTCACTTCATCAGTGTAGACGGGTGAAATGTTGGCTAAAGAACAATGACGAAGTACAAAGAGGTTGGGATAAAGGAAGCGCATAAAGAGCGCTGTACGCAGTGGTGTCCGATCGGCGCAAGCCGGTAGCCAGACGCCTTGTGCGAGTGGGCGACCGGATACAGGCAAAGCGGTAAAGGTTTGAGCTACTTCATTGCCCAAATCATTTTTCGGATCCTTCTCTTCAAGCAAGTGGAATCTCGTCAAACAGGCTCATCCGTTGTGCAGACAGACTGGCAGACAGGGGCTTCTGCTAAAAACACCATCGATCATCACTGAAGTTGGAAAAAATCGATGACGCACAGGTGCACCTCCTTACAAAGGCTTAGCATCCGCACGTGCTTGTTTCTCCAATTGCTACTACTGGACGAGTGAACAGATAGGTGATGATGGGATGCCTCCGAAAACAAAAGGATTGACTGTGAAACTAGAACTTCATGATGAATCCCGCAAGTTTATCAAACTGCTACTTCTCTAAGCGGCGATTTCCAGTCAGCTTGAACGGTCTATATATAGTGTGCACAGTTGTGTAACTAGTTAGATGAATTATTATTTTTGCCTAATACTCTTAGAAATCTGCGAGTTCGTGGAAATGACAACGGTTTCACCGCCAGTCATGCAGCATAACGTAAACATTTGTACGTAACAAAGCTAAAACACATTGTCATATGTATCCATCAACCAGTACGAGTCAACTGCCTCTATAGATACCGCATGCGTCGGGATTGACCTGTTTGGACATCGCTTTA